GTGGGGCCATATCAGAAATCTTGTCAAGCACTGCGTCCATTACTTTGGTAGGATCACGCCCCGAATTCCTTATAATATCAGCATGTGTACCCACAAGTATCACTGGAGGAAAAGCACCTTCTGTTGTCCGTCCGAGTTTCTTTGCAGTTGACAAGCAATGTACCAAGTCCAGCCATTTCAAAATGTGATCAAGGTTAGTATCCTCTGTGTCTGGTGATGTTACTTCTACCTCTGCATGATCACGAGGCCGTACACGACACTGTGCCGGGGTAGTCAACTCTCTTGTCAGATCCAACGCTAACACATATATGGCTTCTTGAGACAGGAAAATAGGATGAATGGCATGATATATTGCTTGGCCAGCAAAATCCCAAATTATAGGCCATATGCCGTCATCTTTGTCCGGATTCTTTCTTCCTAAGAGAGAGGCAACTTTCACTGGTATCTGCTCCTGGTTCTGTTCTTTTGTGTCACCCTCGACAGCTACAAAAAAAAAAATGACAACTTGCAAGTTCTTCCTCAAGCAACCTCTACTTCACAATTATATGTACATGACTCTCTAAAAGAGAAGAAGGTGTTAAGATTAAATTTGAGTTTTTTTTAAATTAATAATAAGTATCAGTAAAAGAAATGCGACACAACTGTTTGGCGTCACCAAAACACCATCAATGAATGTTAAAAAAATCAAGATTTTCTTTGCATGTTTTACATGATAAACGATAAGCTACTAAAATATTTAAGAATTATAATATTACTGTTTATTACATGACTCGGGAGGTCAGAGGGCCAATAACTAAAATCAACCAATCAAAATGCTCTATTGTCCGGTCAATATTCTCTCAGTATTGGACCGGGCACTGTCCTGAATGGTCCCGAATGATACCGCGCTTGTGTCCCTTTGATTTTCAGTCGTGTAATAAATCTCTTATTAGCCAAGCTTGGCTCGGTCCGTACTGTCAAGACCTCGGGCCGATATTCTCCCAGTGCGGCCCCCGCGCTTGGTTAATAAGATATATATAGATAGATAGATAGGAGTGTGAACGATGTAGGCTAACCAACGATGATTCCACCGAGAAAAGGATCCAAAGGATACAGGATGCTTCCTTCTTGAATGACGATAAGTGGAATAAACAGAAGAAGAAGCAAACTTTTCTCTTGTGGCCTTTAAGATGAGTTACACGTTTCGCCCATTCGGGCTTCCTCAGCACTAACTATCAATATGGAGTCCTTATTATCCAACTACACCTAGACGAGTACAAATAACGCCATAGACGAGTACAAATATCACGCGGTATTTATACTCGTCTATTGTAGTACCAGTTAAACAGGTTTTCTAGCATCGCGCAAGCGAAGAATTGGATTGTAGTTACGAAAAAAAAAAAAAAAATGGCGGACAATTTGAATCATATTNATAGTTCACCACCAAATTTTCTCCGGTTCTTATTGGTTTAAATCGATCACGTGACGCGATAGTGTTCATCCGTGGAGAGACACTATCAGCCCATAGTGCCCGCCAGCGAAAAATACCCGGATGGATAGTGCCCGTCCGCGGAAAATACCTGGATTGATAGTACTCATCCGTGAAAAGTTTTGAATAGTTTGACGGCCGCGAAGTTAGGCAGATCGGAAAAACAGTGACTTTTCAATTCTGACAGGTATAACGTATTATTTAGCCAATGTAAGGTTGCGAATTATTGACATTTGTGACAAGCTGTAGGCTCCCTGCAAGTGGAGAATGAATAGGTTTCCTGCAAAAATCAGCATACAAAGGAAAGAACGAGAAAGAGAACAGTCATAACTAAGCCCGCACGGGAGTATGAGAGAACCTCTCTTTCGCGCACGCTAATACCGGAACCCGCTGTCCAACCAACAACACGCGAACAAATATGTTTGCTGACTCCCAGCATATGTGTGTGCAGGTCTCTAATCTGTTGTTTGTGACTGTCACTCTATTTCTCAGGACATCACCCGTTTCTCTGCAGTGTCTGCAGTTATGTATATTTGAAACATATTTTAGACCTAATGCGTTTGATGGGGTTTGATGGGGTTTGATGGGGTTTGATGGGGTTTGATGGGGTTTGATGGGGTTTGATGAACACGACTCAATAGACCTATCATGTGCGCCATGGGTGGGATGGTATTGAAATCACTTCGCGTGTGGGATGCGGATTATTACAACATTAATACTTAACCGCTGTGAAGTAAGATGTATTTGGAAGCGAACTATTATTAATTTCATTAAATATGCTTTTGGAAACGGAATCTTTGTCTTGGCATCTGAATATGAAATGATTTTAGCTTTCACAATTATTTCTTGCTTAAGATAGGAAGCGTAGAACCTTAAGATTAATCTATCGCTATGTTTGGAGAAAAAAGCCCTGCAAGTGGAGAGTGAATAGGTTTCCTGCAAAAATCAGCATACAAAAGAAAGAACGAGAAAGAGAACATTCATAACTAAGACCGCACGGGAGTATGAGAGAACCTCTCTTTCGCGCACGCTAATACTGGAACCCGCTGTCCAACCAACAACACGCGGATTTGGAATAAGAGCTGTTCTTTACCATGTCCAAGTTGAACGCAATGGCAACGGCTATCCAATTCGAAATCTAATTTCGAACCAGTTTCCTACTTTATTTCCATGATAATCCGTTTCGAAGCGGATGATTTTTAAAATAAATAATAACATATACATACATGCATACATACATACATAAACTTTATTTTTTCTCCAATTTAAGAGTAGGTTGTAAAAACTAATTTTCCGAGAGAAAAATAACAAATAACAAAAGAAATCGACATAACATACAATGACGTTATAAAATACAATCACGTGCAATATTTTTAATTAACCGCTAAAATGAAATAAATACCTTTACTGAATATTTAAACATCATTGCGGCAGATAAATTTTTAATCATGATTTGCGCGGTATGACTTTACAATTTTGCCACATGAATCGCTCCCCCTAACGCTGTGACATCGCCAAAACAAACTGAGTTAGTCTCGACCTAGTCTTCCTGAACGAGTGTGCGTGGCCGCAAAGCTTTTGTCCATTTCTTGCATGTGGCTGTTTCCTCGTAGAGTGGGTTTTCGTTCTTTTGCTTCTGTGCTACGCGTGAATTTTTCTCCTGTTATTGTTGCTCGATCAGTAATGGACAAGGCTGCACTTTTCCAAAGTATTGGTTTAAGCGAGCAGAAAGCTCAAGAAACGCTGAAGAATGATGCATTATCGAAGCGATTGGAATCCATCATAACTTTGGTAAGTAAAAGGTTCAGGTTTTCATTCAATAAATTTTAATAGCCAGCGATTTTTGTCGAAAACTCAATGACCATGGATGCACTTGCCTGAAGCGATGTCTCTACGTTTTTAGCGGTCTCGATAGATTAGCTGAAAATGTTTGTTCAAGGTGCTACTGCAATTTCCAAAATCGTAGCTTCCACATCAGCTTGATCAGTTCTTCGTAAGCTGATGCAATAACTGGTACATCGCAGTAACATTGGTGGGTAACATGAAACCAAAATTGTTTTTTTTCCTGCGATTCTTGCGTTACTTGGAAGTCTTGCTTATGGGTGATGAAATCTAAATGTAAATCTGGAATGAGATTGTTTATATTATGTATATGAGCATATGTATTGGCTCCGAATACACTCGAGTGATATTTTGTTGAAGTCAGATACAATGAAAATATGAAGTTCTAATACCACAGTTCAAAATATATGAACTTCATATATTCATTGTATCTGATTTATCACTTTCATGGGTTTATTACGAATAAACTTAACGGCCTGCTCCCAGTTGGCTTGTTAGCTCAATTGGTAGAGCGCTGCACTAGTATCGCAGAGGTCAGTGGTTCGAATCCTGTACAGGCCTGATTTTTTTTCAGGTCTGATTTTCGCTATTGCATAAATAGGGCTATCTACTGCGAGGATTGTGCATCATACATTTTGTTTAAGGTTTGTATATCATGACTCAAAGCTAAATATTCTCTGTCCAAGAGAATTGAACTCAGTCACTAAGTGTTTTGTCAAAAGAAAACCCTTCTTTCCCCATTATCCTTCGAAATTTACGACTTGTTTGGTCATTTGCAGGACAGGGTTGTGTTGTCCAAGCATAGGTTAAGATAACCCAGGATAAGTGTGAAATCTGATTTCAGATCTGAAAGCTCTAAAAGAAAATTCATTGTATTTTTTTTTTGTGTGTGTACAATTTGGTGATTGAATAATCAAAAAAGACTTGAGAAAATTATTGCAAAAAGACTTTCAAGTAAAGAAATAGAGAATCCTGAATTAAAATTTAATGTAAGGTTACTGAGTGCTAATTGGCCTTTGATTTACTGGGCTCAGAGTAGTCTTTTTCAGCCATATGCATGCTATTGCGTAGGACCTTTATGCAGGCATTTTGGATGATGCTTTAAAGTAAAAGTGTGCAAGGTACTGCACTTGTTATGCAATAATTGTGTTGGCTCAGAGAGTTGTTGAAGTCAGGAAAATTCTGTTTTGATTTGCATTCTTAGTAATTAGGGTAGGTCCATCTCACTGGCTTGAGATTGCGGACTTTGTTTCTGTGAATTATGAAATTACTTGTTACCGGGTTATATACTTTGCAAGCTCTGAGCAAGTGTCCTCTGTGTGTAAAAGGTGGTGGCTTATCTGTTGGGGTGAGGGGTGAGTTAAATGGAGATGGGGCTTCTTAAGGTNTGATAGAAAGGAAATCTGCCAGAATCAAATGGAAATCTGCCAGAGTCACCCCATTGTACAAAAATTCCGGGAAGCGCTCCAATCCAACGAATTATCGACCAATATCAGTAATTCCAGTTGTGGCCAAAGTCTTAACGGATAATCTACAATCAGCTTTATTATTATTAACTAAAAACAACTTTCTCTCGTGCCATCAATCTGGTTTTCGGTCTTTGCATTCCACGCTCACAGCACTTATGGAAGCTACAGATGGCTGGGCAGTGGATATAGACTGTGGTCTTGCTAATACCGTAGTCTTTTTAGACCTAAAAAAGGCATTTGATACTGTAGTAGATTACGATATTTTATTATGAAAACTGCAATACTATGGAATTTGTCGGACCAGCCAGCAATAGTTTGCTTCTTATTTAGATAACTGAACACAGATTTGTCATTTAAACTCTTGTAAGTCAACTCCGAAATGTCTGAGATGTGGTGTTTCCCAGGGAAAAATTTTGGGACCTCTTTTATTTTTGATATATAATTATTAATGACTTACCAAATTGTTTGACATATTCGGAACCTAGAATGTATGCAGATGACACCAGCCTGACGCTTGCCAGTACTGACATTGAGCATATAAATTATTGCCTTAATCACGACCTGAGCAATGTGTACGAATGGCTCTCTGCTGACAAACTTACCTTGAATCTGGCAAAAACTGTGTTCATGCTTATTGCATCTAGGCAGAAGTTATCACAATTTACAGAAAGTCCCTCTCTTATTATAAACGAAAACGCAATCGAACAAGTAACCTCCGCTAAATCCCTTGGAGTTTATGTCGATCAAAAGATAAATTGGGAGTGTCATATTGAAAACATCTCTAAGAAGATAGCTTGTGCCATTGGCATCTCACTCCATTTCATGTTTTAATTACAGTTTATAATAGTCTTATTCAACCACATTTTGATTATTGTAACGTAGTGTGGGGAAACTGTAAAAAAGGCCTTTCTGAAAAACTACAAAGGCTGCAGAATTGGGCAGCTCCCATCCTAATGTCAGTGAGCTATGATAGTAATTCGGATGATTTGTTCTGGGTGCTAGGGTGGCGAAGACTCTACTATCGAAGATTGGAACAGAAATCTATCCTAATGTATAAAACATTACATGGTATGACAACTGATTATCTGAGATCAAGATTTGTATATCGTGACAGTGTAAGTGCTTATCATTTAAGGAATACCGAAAAAAAATTAGTTCTTCCACAACCTAGAACTGACTATCTCAAGAGAAGTATTTTGTACAGTGGAGCTCAATTGTGGAACAACTTACCTGTAGACCTAAGACAAGTGTCTTCGCTGACTGATTTCAAATCTAAATTAAGTCACCACGGTTTAAAGTAAGATCTTAATTCTAAGTAAATTTTAGACACGGCCTCCAGGAAAAGCAGAATTTTTTATTTATTTCTTTTATTTGAATTGTTGTTATCAAATTAACAAATGGTAAACACCACAGCGCACACTATTGAGTTATAGATACACGCGGGAGGTTGCTAAGCGCAAGAGAAGCTAAGAGTCGCGCGAGGTGATAGCTGAGAGCGACTCTAGCTTCTTGAGTGCTTAGCAAACCTCCCAAGTGTATCCATAACTCAATAGTGTACGCTGTGGTGTTTACGATTTGTTTTATAACATAACATTGATACATTGTAGCTAAAGAGTTCCCTTTTATTTTACAAATCTTGCCTGACCAGACAAAGCAAACGTGTGTGGAAAAATAGTCTTTGCATTTGCTCACGTCAGCAGCATACACTTATGGGCAAATGGGGGATGCTAAATTGACCAATCAGAGCGCGCGCTTTACTTTGGTTATGTTATAATTATTATTGTAGTTAGATAAATAGGTTTCTAGTATAGAATTAACTAAATCAACTGATGGAAAAACTGTGTATATATAAAGTTATCCTATCCTATTCTAAAGGAGGACTTATGAGAAATTTTATGCCCCAGAGAGGGGAAAGGGAAAACAATTTCCACTGGGTGACTGAGATGCAAAACATGGCTTGTAAAATAAAGAAAAGCACTGTAACATTTTGGCCTAGTAAATTGTGAAAAACATGCTTATTCCTTTGTTAAGCAGTCTCTATGAAGCAACTGTCTTACATTGTAGAATTAGCAGAGACTATTTGTTGTGTTCTGTTCTTCTTTTTACTTAGATATCAATTGATCATTCTAATTTTTCTTTTTTTTTTTTTCCGTAGGTGAAAGAAAAATCTGCAGATGGGATTGAAAAACCCACTGGTGTTTTGATGTACTCCTTAGCAAGCAGTAGTATCAAAGATGATGCACAGATCAAGTTTGTGAGCAACTACATTGCAAATAAGAAATTGGCATCTGCGATACAACTGACAGGTATGATGTTGATATCCAAAACAATGGAACGGAGAAGGAAGTAGAGGAAATAACTGAGTTAGAAAGGAGAAACTTGGGTTAAGATCCTGCTTTTTATTGTGTATCTGGTGATAAGTCTGAGGTATTTTTGCCAATCAATTGATTTTATTGTGTAGTCTAATTGTCTGGGTGAGTGTTGTCCTGGGAAGGACTGTTGTCGGTGGTAGTGACTGACATTTTGAAAACTTCATTGGAGGTCATTATCAGAGTAGAGAGAACTTCATTACTTCTGTGGGGGTTGTTAAAATGTCAGTGATCACTAGTGACACCAGTCTTTTCTCAGGACTACTTTTATGTGCATGATCAAACTACATCATCCAATGTTACCTCTGTGTGCAAACCATTTACTGAAGTAAAAGTGTACTTCTATAATATAGTCATGCATAAATTATGTTACGCTTATTTCATCTTAGCTGCGGTGGATTTTATGAAGGCCAATCCAGTTTTACCCGTTGATGTGACTGCTTTTGAAAAGAGTTGTGGTATTGGAGTGAACATCACACCTGATCAGATTGAAGACTGTGTAAGTCAGAAATACAAAGATTTAAATTAATCATTTGTCTCCAGATGTACATATGGATTCTCTGCACTATATCACAGTCCATTCTTGCAAGTTTGGCTTTGAGAATTCATCGGCCAATCAAACATATCCTCAAAGTGTTCATGAGTCAGTGGGGCTGTGGAGATAATAAACTGGTTACTTGACAAAATTCCCCTGCTTTCCACCGCACTTCCTGATGAAAACCCAGCTAGTTGATCGGTTTCTTTCCTCTTATGACCTTTCTGCTTGAAATTACAAGAACATACATTGATGTTGCAAAGAGAAATTCCTTTTTGTCATTACTGAAAATTAAAGGATTACAATAAATATGTTAATAATTTAGTCATTTCCTCTCTTATATTTTCTTGTAACTTCTTCTTACCATCTCAGTATATTGCCCCTATCAAATATTATGAGAATGGATTGATGTATCAGGGGATAGGTGTAGCTAAAATATCGAAATATAACTTACACCAACTTCTCTTAACTTACTTGAATTGCAAAGTATATCAGTCGGAAGGGAGAATTACTTATAATAATAATAATAATTATAACATAACCAAAGTAAAGTGCACGCTCTGATTGGTCAATTTAGCGTCCCCCATTTGCCCATGGGTGTACGCTGCTGACGTGAGCAAATGCAGAGACTATTTTTCGGCGCGCGCGCCTGTTTTTTCTGGTCACGTAAGATTTGTTAAATAAAAGGGAACTCTTTAGCTACAATGCATCAATGTTATGTTATGAAACAAATGGTAAACACCACAGCGTACACGATTGAGTTATGGATTCATGCGGGAGGTTTGCTAAGCACTCAAGAAGCTAGAGTTGCTCTCGGCTATCGCCTTGAGCGATTCTTACGCTGCTTTCGCACTTAGCA